AAACGCATGATATTGATCTGCTGAAAGAGGATTCGGCAAACAGGCCTAGGACCTCAGCAGAGTGGATGGAAATAGTGAGAGCTCTGTCAAAATGTCTGTGAACTAACTACTAATTCTGATTCCGGACGTGAAATGACATAACAAATTAATTTAGGTAGTTATTGTTGCCCAATGAGAGACGGATTGACATGGTTCTGGTTTCAGTTACGTTCCCGTTGTGGGCGCTTGTACTTAATCGTTTTCTGACACCCGAGAACGTAACGCAAACGAAATTAGAACATCACGTTACGTTCCCGTTACGTACGCAAATCTTAAACTCTCTAATGAGCATTTTAATGGCAACGCGCTTTAAATGTCAATTGTGAAGTTACGTCCTCTCGGCTCAACAGCAGCAAATAAAAAAAAAGTTGTTATAAACAGGCAAGCTTTTATTCGGTGATTCCGTGATGGTGTAACGAAGATCGCGTTCAAGCAGCTGATGTTAAATATTAAAACAACATTGAAACAATAATGTAATGGTAGTCACTCTCTGAAGAATGTAGTGGTCCTGAATAGAGCACTTTGTCTTGTGCTAGTGTTCGCTCAGTTAGTAAAGTGTGGGGATCGAACGGGATTGACACAACACCACACTGTACTTTCCTAGTCTGGTTCATTAGTTTTGTATTCTTCAAGTCAATGATGGCATATATACTATTTTGTTCCAAGTGTATCAGCCAAATGTAGTTAACTTATTGTATTAGTACGTGTAGCCTGTGTTATTGGACAATGGTGTACAGCTACGGGTTGAACAGATCATTAAAAACATGCCGAAGATTTATCATCACGAGTTGTATAGGTCGAAGAGCTTCTTGCAGCCAACAATTTACCCTAGTGTTGCTTCAGCACTGAAACTATGCGATGAATCATATTTTTTACACGTTTTACTATATTTTTAATGGGTTCAGAAAAAGGAGATGTAGTCATTGAAGTCTATTGAGACGGCTGCTAAACTGCCATTATATGCATATTATTTTACCGCCCTCTAAAAACAGATTTACAGTGAATCAAAAAAAATTACTGTAAGAAACTTGGTGGCATGCCATTGGTTAGTGCATTTAATTTGTTTGATGCAATCATTGTGCCAGCTATATCTTGTGGTAGCGATATGCGGGTACAAAAAATCGGAAATCGAGAGGGTACAGATAACATTTTGCAGATATCTACTTAGCGTTAATAGTTGTAAAAACAATGTAGCGATGTTGGACGAACGTGGAAGGCTGCCATTATGCTGTGGTTATTTCAAGCGTATCTCATATTGGTTGAAATTACTGAAACCCCAAAACATGTTATACCATGTTTAAACGATTAGACAA